ATATTAAAATTCTCAGAAAACGAACGTCAATTATTTTTCCGCGAAATAACCAAAATTTGAATATAAAAATATTTCCTGTTTTCCGACCATTATTCTAGGTTTGGCAATAGCGTAGAATTTGTTAGAAGCTTGTCACTTTAAACAAACACGAAAACATAAAATGCATTAAATTTTATTAATTTAAAATTTAAACCACCAAACCAAAAACCCTTTTTCACATTTCTCTCTCCATCGATCTTTCTCTTGATCTCACGTGAATCATTACTTCGCGTCCACTCGGTATTCTTCGTCACGTTCACGTTATTGAACAGTAATGAATGGCTGCTTTTAGAGTGGTCCAGTTACACAAACATGAAAATCTGAAATAATCTCGGAAGGTGACTTTTTCACGATTACAATACTTTCCTTTTATCAAGGGAAGTAAAAACAATAATCCTAAAAAGGTTATACACAAACATTACAAAACTAATCGATACCCAGCTAACTATCAAAAATTTTCTGAACTCCGGTCACAATTTAAAAGACTAAATCGTGAATGTTATGATCAACACATTTTGTTTAATGAGAACGCCTTGCCCGCAAACGTTAAAAAGTTCTGGACACTTGCAAAATGGTATACAAAGTTCAATGTAATTCAGTGGTATAGTTGGTGATTTAAGTAATGATATAGTAAATATGTTTGCTGAGTATTTTGCATCAGTATATTCTGATAGCACTTCTGAAATTCCCATTTCTTCTCTCTATGATACTGGTAATATCAATAGTCACAGAATTTCAATATTATATATTTATTTGAAATTAAGCAACCTCAATATAAATAAGGGACCTGAACCCAACTCTCTTCCATCTATTTTTTTTTTAAATTAGTTTTAATCTCCCTTGGCCATTACTTCATATATTCAACGAGTTCCTGAGTACATACTAGCATTTTTCTTAGTACATGGAAAAGAAGAAATATAAATAACTCCTATCTTTAAGAGTGGAGATAAGTCTAATGTCTCTAACGATGGTACAATTAGTATCCATAGTACAAACTTTTTGACAGTTGTATTTGTTACATTCTTACCCCTTCGTTTAAAAATGTTTTAATTGACCAACAACATGGTTTATAGTCTTCCAAATCCACTGAGCCTAATCTACTCACTTACCACGATTATCTATCTAATGTCTTGGAAAAGAGAGTTCAAGTAGATACAATCTATATGGATTTATCTAAGGCATTCGATCGCGTTATAATCATGAAGTATTTTTACACAAACTTAAGACTTTAGACATAATTGCTTTTTTCCTTAGTTGGATGAGGACTTACTGAATAAAATTTAAATATTTTATGTCGAACACAATGAAAATATTTAAAAAAACGCTGATACATTTTTCATAATTTGGCAGGCTTGGCGACTAGTATTTCGAATAAAAATAGCACCCAACTTGCAAGACTGTGTCGCAACTCCTTTAGATATACGAGCCCTTCCCACTGGTAGCTATTGTTTGATAGGTCGTTGTAATACATAATTTTAAAATGGCAGTGGCCCTACGTCCCTTTTAAAGACTATTTTCAAAACTTAATCACGCATTCCAAGCAGAAGAACTGTCGGTATAAAGGGTTGGCATATCTGACACACGATGTATTCTATCTACAATAGTGAAATCATGAATAATAGATTAAATTAAAGTATTTTATGCCGAATACAATGAAAATATTATTTTTTAAAAACCGCTTATACATTTTTAATAAATTGGCAGGCTGGCGACTGCTATTTCAAATAAAAATACCGTCCACGTCTATGACGCAACCCACTTAGATATACAAGCTCTTTCCACTGGCATTCCAAACAAAACGGTTGCCCGTAGGTAATGACAGGCACACACATACTTTGATTTTCTTTTACTATACGGAGAATGGTCGCACTCTCCGAGCGCTCGGAGGTCGCACTGCGCAGCTTTCTGAGTGCCTTTTAAAAGGAGATAGAAAACTCCGCCATTTTGAACCCTTATTACGTGTTGCCTACATCTTGGCGCAATATTTTTAATAGGTGCATTTTAATCATCCGCTTCTGCTTCGGAATTGTCAGTTTTCTTGTTTTAATCTGACAGGTTAAAACGACTAAACCGACAATTCCGGAAGCAGAAGAGGATGATTAAAACGCACCTGATATTTTGCTTGCTGCTGTCAGTGTCAGTGAATATTATTTTTGAAGTCACAGTTTATTGCTAAAGAATCAGTTAGCTCACTCGGACCAGTTGAAAGTTCCAAAATAACATCACTCCAGGGATACAAATTCAGGATACGCAGAAGACTGCTGTTTTATTATAGGCGGTTGTCATCTGATTCTTTAGCTGTAAACTGTGTCACAGGGTTCAAAATGGCCGCGCCCTATGTTGGGCGTGTCGGACCTCTCTCTTGCCTCGTATAGTAATCAAAGTATGTGCAGGCACATGATAGGTTATGATACGGCAACGGCCTGGTAATTTGACAGGATCAATGATATAGATAGTTATTAAGATTGATCATCCATATTTTTAAAAATAAACATAAGCTTATGCTTTGAAGTAAAAATGTAGGTAATTATTTTTTTAATATATTCAAAGGCTGGAAATTGGTTTTAAAACACATTTTTGCTAAACCGATTCAAATTAATGAACACTTTCCAGGCAATATGGCCGCTCGCAAACGACCCGCTTTGAGCAATCTGTATAACTATATATGTAGGTCCACAGGCTCGCCATATCCAAACTGTCAGTTCCCAGTTAGGCATTCCAAACTGAATGGCTACTAGTGGGTTTTGACAAAATTATGGCAACCCTGTAAGCCTGGCGATTTGACAAGGTCAACGAAATAGATAGTTACATACTTAGATTGATCATCCATATTTTTCAAGATAAACATAAGCTTATGCCTTGAAGTAAAAATGTAAGCAATTATATTTTTTTTAATTATCTGAAGGCTGAAAATTGGTTTTAGAACACATTTTTGCTAAACCGATTCAAATTAATAAATATTTGCCAGGCAATATGGCCGCTCGCAAACGACCATCTTTGAGCAATCTATATAACTATATATGTATCATTGACCCTGTTAATGACAACATGATTGCCATATCTAAACTGTCAGTCCCCACTGGTAGCCATTTGGACAGGTCGTTGGAATGCCTAAGGCAGCATTTTGACAGGTCGTTGGAATGCCAAACTATTGTTTTACAGGTCGTTAGAATGCTTAATAAGGTCTTTGTTGACAGGTATTAAAAAAAAATATATTTTTGTGCGAGGATAGTTCAAATAACAAATTTTATTATGTAAATGTATTTTAAATTACTTAAAGTACCAAAGGTTTATCGTTTTTTCTATTTATACTGTACTTAAAATGTCGTTTCTATAGAAAAGCTAGACTACCCATCTGATACGTCTACTCTGTTTCTCCCTCTTGACAGTCTCCACATAAAAAGTTTTGGGTTAACCTCTTGCTGCTTATCAAATATCATGCTTCCATCAAAATTCTATTGTAGTAAATATTTGTTGCTTTAGTTTGACAGATTTGTATTTTGAAGAATTCCTTTAAAAACTGTTTAATCGAACAAAGCTTTTATTGTTAAATATTTTGCTTATTTTTTTTTAATTTGTTTAGTTAAATAGTGGTTCAATAATACTGGTCGGTTCTGGAAAACTGCCAATGGGGAACACTACTGCTAGTGTGGTATCTATATTTTTATTAGCTAACTGTAAACTGCTACGCTACTGGTTCTGTAAGTTGCAAATGTATTGTCTAGTAGAAATGAAAATATTAAAATGTCAAGTATATAAAAATAACTTAATTATTCAACTTGGTGTGAAAGTACACTACTAGATTTTAAATGTGAATTAAAAACAATGTTAGAAGAAGGGCGGGAATATCGATTAAAAATCCGAAAACTGAAGTACCTATGCATTTGAAAATAAAAAAATTCAATTTCGCCTGCGAAATTAGGGAATCCATCCCTACAACCAACCCCATGGAGAAAACAAAGAAAAATTGAAAACACTGAAAAGAAAAAAAAAATGTGCCCAAGTTAGGAATCGAACTCTATTTCTCGATTCCTTTACCAATAAGGATGGAATTCTTAATTTCGTAGTTTCCATAATGTATTTTTAAATACTCTTAAATGTACAGCATAATCAATTTAATTTTTACAAACCATCACAAACTTTGACGTAGAACTATGGTTCAAGTTAAAATGTGCCATATCTTCTCTACACGTATTATCTGTGTGTTTTAGTCTTGAAATTTACTTTAAAAAGCTAATCTTAATTTGAGATTTGTAATATTTGTTGCGTTTATATTTAGAATACTGTGCTCTATCTGCATTAAAGATTTTCTCGTTACTGTGGAACATTATAGTTAATACCCAAATAACTACGAATTGTATGATATCATGGCTATATATCAATACTATATCAATAAGTACATACAGTTCAGTTGTTAAGCCCGTTATTTAAAACAAATGTGAAAAACATTCAGACTCGTCAAGTTTTATTTTAATCAAGGCATTTTATAACATAAAAAAATCTGCCTACCCTTTCATCCCCTCCACCTGATAGTAACTAGTAAGGAGGGCCAAGTGACGCTAAAAAATGGCTTGAAAAGCCGAATTCAAAAATGTATTACACTTACAATAATCTAAACCTTACTATCTCTGTTATAGTGAGTTGTTTTATCTGGTTATTAAAACAAAAATGAGTATTGTTAGTTCATAGAGTATTTATTTCAATAAAGAATGTTTTTTTAATTAATAAAAATAACAATACAAGTTGTAATTCATAAATTATTAAATCAATTATTTCTTGTTAGCAAAGATAAGGAAATATAATTAAAAATATACATTTTTTTATATATATTTTATAGAAAACTAAATTCTAAAAACCCTTCAACTTCAAATAACTGACCAGAACTATTGAAACCTATCTTCTAGAACTGTGAAAAATGATAAAACCTTGAATGATGTTAACGACAAAGCTTTATCTTTTAGAATGCTGCAATTTCTGACGGAAAGGAGGATTTAAGTGAACTGCCTCCCAACCAGAGGCGAAAAAAGCTTCTGCTTAAAGTGGAGGAACTCAAAAATAAGGTTGCTCAAGAGACGGCAGCGAGGGATGGTCTAATGAAAATGAAAGGCGTGTATGAAGCTAATCCTGCTCTAGGAGATCCTCGAACTATAGAAAGTAAGTATAATTGTTTTTGGAGAAAGAATTCCGAATTTGTGATATTACTACGTGCATGTAGGTCATTAGGAAATAATTTTTAATCTCCTTTATAACTTAGTAATTATGTGAATGAACCAACACTTGAAAATACTAGCTGTTTTTTTGTAGAACGTATTTTTCATTATTTTGCCGGCCTTGGGGCCCGTAGACAAGATCGGTCATACTTATTTTTCTCCTCCATTCCTGTGATATTTCAGTTTCACGTTCCTTTACCCCCCTGCTAGCAGCATTCCACCCCACCAAATTATAGATAATCCCATTGAAGTAGGTTCTAACTTATGATACGTCCATTTGTTTAAAAAAAAAGTTATTTGAAACTGTTTTACAGATTTATATACACATTTAAAAAGAAGTTTCAACTTAGAAATATCCTTATATTATGGGATCTTTTTACAAAGGCTAGGCACCAAATGTATTAAAGCATTCTTAATCTTTTAGACCTAGAGTATACCTAGATAATCTTGTATTTTTTGTTCTTTACCTTTTTTCGTTTCGATATTAAAAGGTTTCATAGTTTAAGGGTCAAGTGGATGAAGGAGTTATGAAACATTTTTAAAAAAAATCTATTTTTTTATTGATGGAGGAATTAAGTGCATATGTCTGTGTCTTGTGCTCTGGTCAAGTATGTGTGTCTAATTAATTCATAACCCCTTTTACCAACTCATAAAACCGAATTTTAAAGAAATTTTTTCACTAAACATGTCAATTAATCGAATTAAATTGTTAATTACTCAAAAAACATAATCCCTTCCAATTTAAGAGGATGGGTGGCTAATTAATTTGTTCAATTAAAAATTAATTTTAATACATAGTTAAGATTCCCCACTCGACCATTCACTGTTAGGTTCTAATTAACACTATTAATAGAGCTGTTCCGAAAGGAAACAGTAACAAAACCTGTACAGAACATACATTAATTTATAAAAATATAACGGATGAGGTATTTAAGTTTACACATTCAAATATTGTGATAACAAAGTGGTATATAAAAAAATGTTTCAGGCACATGATATTCCAGTCTTAGTGACGTTTGGTAGTCTTTATTTTCAAGGTCATCTCTATTTTTCAAATAGACACCCGTACTTATACTCTTCACACAGTAGTAAAATTGATATTAACTTGAAAGTTTCAGGAAAATCAAACTCTATAAAGGGACGATGTCTATTGATTTTGATTTTTTTTTTTGTTAAAAATGGGCGGTTAAGGGGGTTTGAAATTTAAAAAAAAATCATAAATCAAAAAGAAAAGCGATATGAAATTTTTAGTAAAAATCAAGCTCTATGAGGGGATGAACGCTATTGATTCTGAAAAAAGAAAATCGGAATAAAATTGGGGTTAAGGGGGGTTGAAATATTAAACAAAATCCTAAATCAGAAAAAAAAAACGATATCAACTTGAACTCTTCGGGAAAAATGAAGCTCTATAAGGGAATGAAGCCTATTGATTCTGAAATAAATCTGATAGGAGGCTAAGGAGGGTATGTTAAACTCTGAAGAGTATAATATAGAATGCCAAGCATTATTCTAGTTTGTTAATATATTACTCCATACAAAAAAGTTTTATCTGAAACATTCCTTAATTGAATTTCACAAGTTTATATTTGAAAAAACAAAGTTGACCTTGAAAAGTTCTAGAATCGACCTAACATCGCTAAGACTGGTCTTTTGTCTTTTCAATGACAAATGGCATTTGTCTGAAACATTTTTTTGTGTTCCATAAAGTTGGATTCATATGGGAATTTTTTTAAATATTACGATTAGAAACAATTGTCTTAGGGCATTTACCTCTGCTTTTTTTTAAATCTTAAAATAACCCATATTAAAGTTGGCCAGTTATCTGTCAAATTCGGTATTTTTTGACAGTAGCCAACTTTGATATGGGCTGTTCTGTATTTAAATAAGCGGAGGTGATTGCTATACGACATTTTTTCCAATCATAATATTAAAAAATATTCGCATATGACGGCACACACTGCATAAAGAGTTGTCGCAATTATAAAGTACTGCAGTAAATAAATAGACCTGCTTGCCTAATGTCATCCGTACACTCAAAAAAACTCTTCGCTTGTGAATAACACTGGAATTTCTTAGTTTTCTAATGTGTTAGAGAGCTGTCTTTTCTTTGAAAGTTTCCACCCTTCCATTTTCATTTATTTTTATTTAGAATACATAATGGCTGATACTTTAATGCTCTGTGATTTCTATTTAAGTATTTTTTCTTCTACCCACAGCTGGTCTTAGGTCAAATCCGAGGGGTGAACCTCTTCTGAAATACTAGTACGTTTTCACTCGAAATCACCAAAAATTGCTACAAATTTACTTGAAATATCCGAAAACATCACGTAAATGAGGGGTAATATTTAAATAATCACCAGATGGCGTTCCTGTAACGTGAGGTCTATGGAACCACCTGTCAAAATATTTTTTTTATTTTAAAATGTTAATAACCTTATTAAACTTTATTTTATTCGAAAAATAGATGGCTCTTAAGCATATTCAGTGGTGCCCCTCTGACTTAAAAAATTATCTTGTCTGGATACCGATATCTGCCACATAAGCCCATTTTCATTCCGTATAATTAGCTCCTTTCTTCTTGGTAAACAGGGTGCGAAAACAATATATTTTTTTTGTGGAAAAGGAACTAAAAAGTATTACACTATTTATAGGAAAATATAATTATCGGAACTGTGGCAGAACTGTTAAGTTCATACCTTATTGTGTGTTAGGTGTGTGTATATTTCATTAAAACAAAGTAATGAAATTACAATTTTATATCGTTTTTATAGTATACAAGATAAAAATAATTCAAATAAAGAAAATAAGTCTGTATTCTATCGGGCAAAATTTGAATTATTGTGGAAATGGACATTAAAAAAAAACAAATATTGTTTGGAGGTTGGTTATGTTTACTGAAGAGTATGTATTAATTAAAAATCATAACTTCGCGACATTTTACATAATTAATAAACATGTTTCTAAGATAATTGGTTGTTTGTTACTATGTATTCCTAAACAATCTACCACACGGAGAATCTCCTAATTGTAATAAAATGATCTACTTACATTGTTTTTGAAAAGATTCCCCTACTACCCACCTACCTACTGAAATATATTTGACTTACTTCAGACGTTGGGACAGACAAACGAGGAGACTACTTTTATTATTTATTTTTGTATTAACTTTACAACGAAATCAAAAATACAAGACAAGACCCTCATCACTGACAATTGACAGCCAGACCTCGTTCGTTACCGTCTATTGCCAACCTTCAGTAGTGGCTACTGTTCGTAGATCCGGAACATAACATTCGCCCCTATTTGGATAAAACTTAACACTACATTTAACATTTTAGTTTTATAATAACCTCTTATAAGTTTAGCCTATTGGGTGGAATTACAGTTCGCTTAGAGCATCTAATATTTGGAGTTAAATTAGGCATGTTCAAGGAAGCTGAGTCCTCTAGATCGGTTGATGAGGAAATATTAGTTTTGGGACTAGGAGAGGGAACTGGGGCTACTATCAACTGGCTTCCATTGAACCTTTTATGTGTGATAGGTTCCAAGTTTTTCTCTATGACCTCAAGGCTGTTTGGTACTTCATTGGGTAACATCAAGGGTTCAGTTGAAGTGGTCAAATAAGAATATTTGAGGTGATCGGCATGCATAAATTTTACCTCCCCTTCAACTAATACCAGATAGGTAACTTCACTTAGTACTTTACAAATTTTTCCTTCTTTCCAACGTGGATTTTCTTTTCCAACCCATAGTACTAATACTTTCTCACCTTCATAAAACATTCTTTTCTTTTTCTTGATTTCTTCAGACCTTGTTACATTACTTGGTCTGATTAAATGTATCTTTGTCCTCGGTTTTGTTTTAAATATTAATTCTGCTGGGCTTAATTTTGTTACACTATTAGGGGTATTTCTAAAGGAAAACAAGAAATTATCTATTTGGTGCTGTAGAGATAATTGTTCTTTTTTGTTATTATGATCAAATAACTGTTTTTCTATATTTCTTTTAATGGTACAAACTTGTTTTTCTGCAAAACCATTTGATGATTCGGTGGTGAAAATGTACATTTGATTCCATTACTACTACAGAATAATTTATATTCACTACTATTAAAGGGAGGTCCATTGTCAGACATAATTTCCTCAGGTAGGCCACATGTAGCAAAGGTAATTCTTAATTTTTCAAGGGTTTGTTTAGCTGTAGTTCCAATGGACATAATGTGAATATCTAACCATTTACTATAACTATCTACAATAAGTAAAAAGGTATGTCCAAACTTTTTTAAAAAATCAATATGTACTCGCTGAAACATTTTGAATGTTTTAGGCCATGAAGTGGTGGGTACGGGAATAGGTGTGGGTTTATGGATCTGACAACATTTGCATCTGTTCATAAAATTTTCAATATCTTCATCTATAAGAGGCCACCAGACCTCACTTCTTGCTAATAACTTCATTCTGACTATTCCTATGTGTTGATCATGTTAAATTTCCAATACTCTATTTCTTAGAGTGTAAGGAATGATCACTCTGTTGCCTACTAACAAACAGTCATTTTCGATGGACAATTCATTCCTTCGAGTAAAATACGGTTTTAGACCTACAACAGAAATTGCATTAGGCCAACCTCTTTTAGTAACATCTAATACCTTGGATAATGTTTTATCCTTTTTTGTTTCGACTAGGATGTCTAAGAAAGTTAGTGGTATACTATAATTATCAAAAGAAAACACATTGTCTTCTTCATCAACTGAAGTATCTGGTAAGGGTAATCGCGAGAGCATATCTACATGAGCCATATCTTTACCCTTTCTATACATGATATCATATTCATAAGCTGATAATTCAAGAGCCCACTTCTGAATGCGGGAAGCTGCAAGACAATGAATATTTTTCTTTGAACCAAATATTGTTTGTAATGGTTGATGGTCTGCAAGTAGAGTAA